GCATTTGGAGAAGTTCTTCAGCAACTTGGGAGAATTGAGGAATCAAGTGTTCAATTCGAAAAAGCTCTTTCTATTTTCCGCAACAACCTTGGAGACAACCACCCTAGAGTCGCCATGGTCTACAATTTCATTGCGAAAGATTTGGCTCAGACAGGTCACCAAAATAAAGCGGTGGAACTTTTGGAGAAGGCGGTCAAGATTCAGTTGAAGAATTCAAGAGATGACCATCCTGATCTCGCCAAGATCTATGCCACCATGTCTGATATTTCAAATGCTGAAGACCTACAAGAAAAACCATAATCCTTCTTAACTTCTTCTTCGCTATCGTGTCGTAAATGCATTCGTACTTCGCATCATTAGAGTCCTCGTCCAATACTGTAGAGAAGGGAAATTCAATGCAATGAATCAGTCAATCATACATCAATCAATCCTCTGCGATCGAACGGTTCGACTAAACGTCTTCATTTTTCGCACGGAATCGGAATAGCGTGATCTCAAAAATATATTTTTGATAGAAATAAAATAATATTTTTGATGCTTTTAATTGTTCTTCAAGTAAGACAACGTACCAGGTAGCGAAGCAAGTTTCGACTGATGAACTATGCTCTCATGTAACTTTTAAATTATTATTCAAGAAATATTTCTGTTCTTTGTCACGGAAGCAAGGCTGGCTCCAGATTTGGTGAGATTTGGTGGGAGTTTTATTAGTGTTCAATGCTGCGGTATTATCCGCACGGAATCTGAAGCGTGAGCTCAAAATATTTTTGATAGAATAAAATAATATTTTTGATACCAGGTAGCATATGCTCGAAGCAAGTTTCGACTGATGAACTATGCTCTCATGTAACTTAAATATTATTTAAGAAATATTTCTGTTCTTGCTCAAGGAAGCATGCCAACGTAGCATACGCAACGAAGGTACCGCAATCGCGGTCTCCTCACAATAGCTTTTCATCCAAAAAACAACAACAGAACGATATCATGGTTTACAACCAAGCTCCAGAAGTGTTTACTACGCTCACAGATCGAATGGTCTATTCTGACCGAGGCGAGCTCAACAAACACCACCCACCAAACCAAGAGTATCTTCGTATCGTTCGTTCAAACAGGGTTGCGTACAGGGCAATTCCAGACGAGAACAGGAGCGCCAAGAAAGCATTTGCGGAGGAATTAATTGACTTGTTGGAGAACCAAAGAGGATTCATCTTTGTCAAGCCGGTCAACGGCAAGTATGTCGAACTCGCCCACAAAAAGAAGCTAGAGAAGGTGATGCATGTTCTGCGAGAGCTTCGTGATCCGTTCCAGCCAGAGGTCGTGAATGGAAATCAAGCAGGTTTGCAAGCTCTTGCCGATGTCCAAGAAGACGAACCCGATCTAGATGAAGCAAACGCCGTTGTCCCCCCTCAAGTGCAAGACACAGAGGTCGCCAACAACGACATGGACAGTGTCCACGATGTCAAAATTTGGAATCCTTCTGATGATGATTGGGAGCGCGATGGAAACCAAGCAGGTTTTCAAGCTCTTGCCGATGTCCAAGAAGAGGAACCCGATCTAGATGAAGCAAACGCCGCTGTCCCGCCTCAAGTTCAAGACATCGACATGAATCCTTTTGATGACGTTGCCAATGTGGAACTCGGGAATCCTTTTCCTGATTGGCAATTCTCAGCAGTTCACCTTCGTGGAATCGAACAGCTTCCACAACAACCAGGGTTTGAAGCTGCTGGCCATCAAAATGAAATAGTCGTCACCGACAACCAAATCGTCGAGGCTATGGAATTGCTGTTGCAACCTGTT